TGGCCAAAAAGTCGATTCATCATCTTCCACTTCTCTCGAAATCCAATTTCCAGAACTGGAAGAATATTATGTTTTCGTACTGCCTTGAAAGGAACCTTGACGATCATCTTCTCTCCGATCTGGTTAAAGAAGAAAAGGACGCTGTAGCTAAAATCTCTCTTCAAGACAAGAAAGCAGCAGCAGCAGGAATTCTCGGACGTAATTTAGGTGTTGAGAATTATGCTAAATTCATTACTGAAGACAATCGAAAGCAACCACATCAAATTTGGAAGGCTTTGATTGATCACTTTCAGTCTGATTCGTCGCAAAATCATGCAGTCGTCTATTGAGATTTCCTAAACATCGGATTCACCTCTACTCTTGAACAATTCATCACGGATATCGACGTCGGTATTTCCAATCTTCGCTCTGTAGGGATCAATATCGTCAAATTAGAGAAGACAACTATTGATGAAACTCTCTTAGCTGAATATATCGTGAATCTCTTGCCTCAAAAACTTGAGAATTCAAAAGAGATAATAACAACTAAAAGACCTTTGAGCATCGATATTGTCAGGAATTATCTGAATTCAAAACAGCTTAGTTCCACTGGAAGTCCTTCAAATTCGGTCGATCCAGTCATAAAATCTGAATCTGCATTGAAGACGGTAACTGTGTGGTGTGATAATGGTCAACACAACGATAATGCTCGTCACACTAAGTCGAATTGTTTTCAACTTCATCCAGAGAAGGCTCCGGAGTCATGGAAACGAAGGCAGTCTTCTAAGAAGAAGACGGCGAATGCTGCTGTGAACGATTCTAGCATTTCAGGCGTTTACGGCTGCGTCGTCAATCCGCAAGCTCTTTCAGTTTTCAAAGATACGTCGCACGTTTTTCTGGACAGCTGCTGTTCAGATCACATGTTTCCCGATAAACAGTTCTTTTCCGAGTACGAAAGCGTGGTGTCGTCGGTCAGCGTTGCTAGCGGTCAATCTCTTCCTGCTTTAGGAAAGGGTCTTGTCTACATGAAAAACGTCGACAATACGACTTTCGCTGTGAATGCTCTTCATGTTCCAGGACTCACGCACGCTTTACTCAGCTTGGCTCGTTTATCGCTCAACAATTGTGATCTTGTTCGGCAACCAGGGTCTAAATCAATTTTCTCCGTCAAAGATACTGCTAAAAACTTAACTCTTTTCGATGCGGAAATCAAAAACAACATCTATCTTTGCAAGGCGTCGTTGGTACTTCCTCAAGGTTCGCCAAATTTGCCTTGCTCATATGAAACGACTAGTTCAACTTCTGATGCGGCTCTTCTTCACAGACGCGCCGGCCATCCAAGTCGAGAAGCACTAAGAAAAATGTTTCATGTCAGTTATTCCACAATGGAATGTGTGGCTTGTAGATTATCTAAGTCTCATCGTCAACCATTCTCCGGAAAACTTCCAAAACCCGCTTGTGTACTAGACTATGTTTACATGGATCTTAGTGGCAAAATCACGCCTTCTACACTTGGGAAAGCTTCCTACTACTTCAAAATCACGGACTCCTTCTCGGCTTTCAAGCATGTGTATATACTTTCTGCTAAAAGTCAAGCATTTTCTAAATTTAAGGAATACTACAATGAAGTAACTACATTTCATTCTAAGAAGATCATCAATCTCGTCACCGATAACGGTGGAGAATTCTGTTCTAACGAATTCGAGACCTTCTTGAAGTCTGTTGGAATCAATCATCACTTAACTGCACCTTATACACCGCAACAAAACTCAATTGCGGAGAGAGGAAATAGGACGACTTCCGAGAAAGCTAGGTCGATGCTTAAGCAAGCAAATCTTCCGGTTACTCTCTGGGGGGAGGCTGTTTTGACAGCGGTGTTCTACGAGAATATTACTCCGACCAAGAAGATTTCTTGGAAAACTCCTCATGAGTTGTGGTACGGGCATAAGTTTAATCTCTCGAGACTGCGAACTTTTGGTTGTCGTGCTTTCATCAACATTCCTGACGACATCAGAAAAGGAAAGTTTGGTGATACTTCTAAATTGGGTATACTTGTGGGGTATAGACTGGGTATTCCTAACTGGAGGGTACTCACTGCGAATGCTCGGGTTGAGTACAGCCATGATGTCACTTTTGACGAGGCTTGTTTTCCAGGAATCTCCCCGAGTGATTCAGTCTATACTGACTTTGAAGAAAGTTTTGTTGAGGGTAATTTAAATCCTTCGGTTAGTCATGTTGATCCTGTTGATCCGGGGATCTCGTCAGATTCTCCGGTACAGTCTATTGATGACTGCGGCGGACCTGCAGTCTCATCACCTACGTCATCATCAGAATCTTCAGACTACCAGGAGATAGAATCATCCTTACTCCCTCTTCCTTGTTTACCTTCTTCGTCATCTTCTCACCCACCTCCTACTCCTTCGTCAGCTTCTCACCCACCTCCTTCGTCACTTTCTCAACCCATTCCTAAACAACTTCCGACCTTGTCAAAACCAAAGCCTGGCTGGGATTACGTTCCTGCAACTCAACCTGCTCCGAAGAACATTTCTTCAGATCCAACCGATCCCAACAACATTCTAACTACTAAGCGTCGTGCTCATCTTGTCAACCAAGACTTATCAACTGAGCCTTGGTTTGTGCCTTTTTTCAATCAGAGCTTGTGTTATTCTTCGGTTTCTGAAGCTAATTTGGTTCCGAAAACATACAACGCAGCGCTGAAGTCTCCTCAATCTGCCGATTGGTTGGAAGCTATCAAGGTTGAGCTATCGGCAATGGATCGCTTGCAGGTGTGGAGGGTTGTTCCTATTCCGCCCGGAGAAACCCTTTTGGGTTCTGTATGGGTTTTTCGTGTCAAACATAACGCGGCGGGGAACTTTGTTAAGTTTAAGGCGAGACTTTGTGCTCAAGGAAGTTCTCAGCGGGACGGAATCGACTACGGTGAAACCTACGCTCCCACCGGTCGTCCTTCAACTCTTCGCGCCGTTTTGGCTTACGGAGTCAATAACAATCTCGATATCCATCAAATGGATGTCAAAAATGCTTTCCTCAACGGAAAGTTGGAAGAAACGGTTTACCTTCGTATTCCCGCTGGACTTGACGCACCGCCCGGGACATGTCTTCATCTAGTCAAATCGATCTATGGCTTAAAACAAGCTCCAAGGGTCTGGTATCGCGAGTTATCTTCCTTCTTTGGTTCGATCAACTTCTTCCCTTCGGACAACGACCCTTGCCTTTTTAAATCGGCCGATCCAGATTGGACTTGCCTGGTTCATGTTTATGTAGACGATTTGGTCGTAATCTCCGGTGATGTCTCTAGGTTTAAGAGATTCATCAACGAGCGTTTTCTCATGGAGGATTTGGGTCCAATTAGTTCTTTATTAGGAATGAATATCACTCACGCAAACGATCACTTGTCCCTTTCTCAAAAGAACTACGTGACTGATATCTTAAAAGAATATAATTACGTCGAGTGTCGACCAGTCCCGACTCCGATGATTCCGAACACTCGTTTAATCTCAGCCACCGAAAATGAAGTTGAGGAGTTTAATGCACTTGGTATTAATTATCGACGAGCTGTAGGATTGGTGAATTGGGCGGCAGTTGCGACTCGTCCTGACATCGCATTCGCTGTTTCGCAACTTTCTCAACATCTCGAGCGCCCTGGGATTGTGCACTGGCGTGCATTTACTCATCTTTTACGCTATCTTTCGACCACACTTCATTTTTCGGTCAAGATAGGGGGAGGGGATAACAAAATTTCAATCTACGTTGATGCCGACTTTGCCGCTTGCACCGATACTCGTCGTTCTTATTCTGCTTACTTGGTTCGCTGGGGCGATTCGGTTATTTCTTGGAGAGCCAAGAAACTTACGACCGTTTCGACTTCGACGACTGAAGCCGAATACAAATCTCTATATGACGGAATTCAAGAAGCGATTTCGATGCGACTTCTTCTGGAATCTCTCGGTTTACCGGTCTACCCAATTCCCATCTACTGTGATAATCAAGCTGCAATTGCTCTCTCTCGCAATCCTTTATTTCAACAGCGAACGAAACATATCGACGTCAAATATCACTTCTCACGTGATGCTGTTGAGAAGAATTACGTCGATATTCGTTATATCTCCACCGCTGAAAATGAGGCAGACGGATTAACCAAATCACTGCCTCGAATTCGTCATCAAGCTTTTCTCGGATACCTCAAGAATAATCTTCAACAATTTATCGAATCTGAAAATTGAGAATGAGGGGGGGTATTGAACTGCTTAGTTCCATTTAGTTCTTTCTCCATTTTATATTGTACTTTATTCATTTCACACTTTGCGCCGCAGTTCTGAAACCTAATTGATCTTTTAAAAGCGATCTCACTTTATTGTATCGGTCTCTTTCTCAATCAATCAATTGTTTCATTATCAACCATCGTCGCTTTGTCACTAACCTCAAACACTGTCTTAGGTTCGTTTCTCTTATCTACTCATTGTTGTTCATAGCTTAACATTGTGTTCTCTTCAGGTTTGTGATCTTTCAGGTCATCTTCAGTTTCATCGTGTAGATTTACTAAAGATCACCTTCATCTCAAAGGTGTGTATATGAAAAAGCAATCAATCAATTGTTTCATTATCAACCATCGTCGCTTTGTCACTAACCTCAAACACTGTCTTAGGTTTGTGATCTTTCAGGTCATCTTCAGTTTCATCGTGTAGATTTACTAAAGATCACCTTCATCTCAAAGGTTTGTGATCTTTCAGGTCATCTTCAGTTTCATCGTGTAGATTTACTAAAGATCACCTTCATCTCAAAGTTTGTGGTTCATTATTGAATACAATACCCTAGCGTTGATTCCTGAAGGAAACCGGCGAAAAGGAAATGTCGGGTTTCATATATAAGGAGTCTCTGTCACTTATTTGTCGGAAATAACCTGTCGGGGGACTTCGTTTTACTTGGAAAATGAAGATGCTGGCGCGAGCCCATGTGAGCTTGGCCGGAAGTACCCAAGTGCTCAGAATCTGATACTTTGACTCCTGACCAACAACCTTGTAGACCTCGCCTTACAATTGACATTTGAAATTCGCATGTATTGTACCAGAGTTATATGTGCTCAAGTATTCTTCCAAAAACAAACATTAATAAGAGCCCCCAAAAAAGTAATAGAAAAACGGATGTTGGTGTGAAAAACGTATGAAATCTATCCTTCTAACATGTTTATATAATCAATGATCACTAGCCAAGCACAACCAACCATCAAGACAAAACACAAACATAGACTTTGTATGGTCAATGGAGGTGGGCACGAGTAAAAAAAAATGAAACACGTATCTAATGAAATGACATATATGCAATAGAAGTGTGAAAGAAAGAAGAACACTCTCGGGCGAAAAAAAAAGAAGTAGACACGTGAATAACATCAAACGAAGTGAGTTGGAAAAGATGAAGGCTGGCTCGAGCTCAAAGAAAGTGAAAGTCTTGGGGAAAGTTGATCTCTGGATGAGTTAATAAGGAGTAACTAAGTAGTGGATGGTTTAGTATATACAGAGCAGAACAATATAGATACTCTTCCAGAGACTTATCACCTCTTCTTTTCTTGCTGACCATAACGATGATGATAAAAGTGGAATGTTTGTGAACACAAGAGTTTGAAGTTGCAAAAAAAAGGAAAAGTGGATGCTTAGAGTGTTTGAGAGCTCAAAAGATAGATCAGGGTGGATGAACCTTTTTGATTTTCGTTCCAAACTTGCGCTTATTGATAGCTCCTTTAGATGGCCTCCGAGTAAGTGTCTGAGATTCTGAGAGAGTAGTAAAGGATGCATGAAGTAGTATCAGCATGGAAAAAGTCAGGCGCTCGTCTTTTGAGAGTGGTAAGCTGCAACGTGCAATCACCTTCATACGACCCAGGGAAATAACTGGCGGCGTCTCCAAAGGATGATATGCTTTTCTGAGGGTTATAGAACTCGGATGTGGAGGTCATAGTGCGTTGAACAGAAGTGAGCGCAGAAAGTTCTCCTGGTGGGCTGACGTAGGGACGACCGCTGCTCGAGCTCTGTGGGGTGATGCTGACGAGTGATTGGAAGGGCGCGTCCCGCGGCGGACTCGGCATTTGTGTCACGTTCAGCCCCGAGGGAGAGCCTACCATGAAGACGTTGTTGTAGTAGTCCTTCCGGTTCTGTGGACTGATCTCTGAGTCCGGCGTGTGGGTTCTAGAGTTGGGTGGTGAACATAGGTCACCAATCTTTTTTTTGTTTTTTGAGAAACACAATGATGTCAGATTTTCTCTTGATGAGATGGTAATCAGACATAGCAGGTGCCCTTTGTTTTCACTTAATCATATACGTACATGGTGGCGGGCTATCAAATCGTTATGGATGGTCGAGATTTTATGGAAAGCGACAACTGCCCTAGTTTTTTTCTCAGGCGGCCAAGTACTCGAAGGCAGAGTCAGGATAGCGGCGGTCATCTTAGAGGTGATATAGCCTAATGTCTGATGTGAACAAATAAGCAAAACATTTTTGTTTAAAAATTTGATTTTTGGCAAAAGGGATGAGTTGAGAGAAATGCCGCCCACCATAGCTAGATGGATATCTGGGGTTCAAAGGAGAAAAGGCTTCAGTAAGTGACTGACGGTTATCATAGGTACCTTATCCGAGCCTCGACGAATTCACTAACAGTCAATATATACCGGCTTGTGGTTGCCGCTGCTGAAGACCCTCGCTCCACCGGTGTGTTGGACGCCGACTTGATCGAAAAACTCAAAGATCTACTCATGACATCAATCACAACCAACGAGGGTATTCAAGTGATCAGCCGCCCAGACTTGTCTTCATCAAAATTTATTGAACAATTCCTTAGAAGGAGGACAAGTGCTTACCTCCAGTTGGTGGTAGTCTGCGGTGAATATCTATCATATTGGGGGCAGAGAACAAATACAAATCAGATGGGCTCAATACAGTCAGCTAAAAATAATCGCATCATTGAATAACCACAAGACTGAAAAGATTGAAGCTGCTTACCCTCATGGCCCACCTCTCCAGGATGTTCCGGCTGGACGTTAGGGACAAGCAGGGGGAGGGAGAGTCAGGTAAGTTTGAACTGGACAAAAAGACAGATTGCCCCGAGAGGAAGGAGCTTACCGGAGTTTGATTGTAGCAGAGTTGAGACTTAGATGATCATTGCCATTGACGAGATCTTCAGCAGTGCCATGGGTGCCTTGAGCGCCGTCTTTTCGAGGGAAGAAGGCCATCCGACAGGCGTCATAGGAGAGCAATTTGGTGTCTGTTATCAAGCCGTCCGATCAGCGTCGGATGTGGACCCCAGTCACACAACTGTGTTAAAAAAGACAGTGATGGAAAGTTGACGAGAACTGACATGCGGAAGCCACGATTTCGGGCACCAGCGGCTTGGCTATCGGCCGCACTTCGTTCATGATCTGGCAGTCCTCTGTTGTTACGATTGATGACCCGAAAACAACAACAGAGATCCAAATTGGTGCGCATCGGGGTCGTAGGGAACCACGTGCGTATTTAGGTGAGAAGGAAAGATCACAATTAGATTCATGGTTAAAAGTAATCCTTCAAAAAAGTAATTATCGTTTGAAGCGAAGATGGCGCGTGGATAAACTTAATCTGGAGAAAAGAGACGAGAAGCATGTATAGAGGAATGAAACTGACCCTCCGTAAAATCTAAAAAAGCTTTCATGTACCTCACTCGGGATGCTAGATCGGAGTTGAGGTCTGCTCGGGTGACTGTTTCCGGGTCCATGTTGACTGGCCGATCAGAGAGGCCAAGAGACTCTTGTGATAACAAATTCTAGCAGCTGTCTAGACAAAGTCTTTCGTTGTAGTGGATGTGGGTCGGACTTGATTGCAAAGGGCAGTCTTGATGATGATGAGCAGGGGGAAGTGGGTGATGGTAGTTAATATGGTGAGCTTGAGTTCTCATGGATTGGAAAAGATATTGTAACAAGACTTCACAAAAAGATGGATGCTGATGGATGTCGGCACTTCAGAATTCAGGGGAGACCGAGCAGACTCCGCCCTGCTGGGAGCCTTGTTATTTAAGTAAATAGTCTATGTATTTACACACTTCAAATCGGCACACTATGCATATATATTCTTAGTAACAACAGCCAACAAAACGTGAGATCTGCCGTGGGAGCAAAGCTGGAAGCGTGACCTTACAGATGCGCATGTTCATGCAAATATTAATAGAATCAGTTGGTTGCGTCGGGGTCTGTTTTTGATCGACCAGACATGATGAATAGAGTTATGCAGGTAAACAAGCAGAAGCATATTCCACGATGAGAGCAACCACAACGATGCGAGTGGAGCTGAGTGGGGCGAGTGTTGACGCCGAAAGACGCTGCCTGCTAGATATTGGTCGACACACTACCAGAAACCACCCAGGGCATGCTTGGTGGCATGTGGTCCGACACATGAGTAGTACACTGAATCGTCTGGACTGTCCAACGATACGACTCCGGGAGCCGGGAGGAGATTCCATTCATTGAAGAAGAAAAAAAAAACAGTGGTTCTGCATGCTATGAAGATGATCGGAGTCGGAACTAATTACAGTGTTCTTACTATGTGGTAATGGCGGGGATCTCGGGCATGTATGAATATGATGACTCACATAACATTTCGAGTTGAATCGGAAGTTTCAACTGAGATGAAGCACAACTGCTTTGCTTCAATCCTCATTTCTCCATGTCGTCAATGTGGGACTACATACAACCAGGGCTCTGAGGAACTCCTGAAAAACTACCGTCAAGTGTGTGACTTTCATCTGTGCAAACAACAGGTTGAATGTGACATAAACAAACCCCCCAAAAGTCAATCGGTGTACATATGATCAGACGGACATTGACGGACCATTGTCTTGGATCGAATTATTATATGCAATTTTCTGGTTCTTTTCACAAGCCTCGGGAAATGTGGGCAAAGAAACGAAAGATATCACTCAATCTCACTAAAAGATGAACACAGACCTGATCAGGTTTTTTTTTTTTTGCACCAAGGAAAAACAGACTTGTAAAAAGACTGAAAGACTGGGGTAGCTAATTACAAAAAAACAAATAATAATGATACATGATCAGAACATTGAATCCTTTCCAATCCTTTTGAAATGAATGGAGGCTAGACAAAAAGGTCAGATTTTACATGAAAAATTGGAAACTGAAGACAGCTACTTAACTTTGATTACAAACCAAGCTGAGAAGCTGAAGTATGAGGAAGAAACTGATGAGGAATGGTTTGGTTTAGAAACAAATGTTGGACAATAAATACATCAAGTCGAGAAAACAAAACACAAGCAACCCAAATTTTTTTTATAAATCTGATGCAGGCATGAAGCATGTCCAATGCACAAACAAACAACTAAAACTAAATAGGAATGATAAAAATAATGAAAGTTTGAGTGATGAGTGGAGTGATTGAAAATTGGCGAGGTCACCAGTCCACACCAAGGAGGACTTGGCCAGCTTCACTTTGCTTGAGGCCGTGAAGGCAACGTGTCAGCCAGTCGTTGGACCTCAGTCAAGCCGTAATCACTAACGGCTGGGTGTGTGTCCTGCCAGAGTCTGCAGCTACAGGAGTGGCACATAAGGGTTGAACAAGTGGAGTGGAAGTGTTGGTTGGCAATGGATCCAAAGGGCAAGGGTCGGGGACTTCTTGCCTATTACAATGAATCAAATGGGTTAGATGATAATACTAAATATACCTTGCACAATAAAAATGTCTCACCCTGCAACCACCGACCCCTGTAGGTGAATATGCTGGCGCAGGTGAGCCTTTGTATTCAGGTGTTCACCAGGCTTGTTGGAGCAGTGCGTTGGCTTGGGTTCTTTTGGGCGTTCTGAGTGGTGATTTTATGGAAACTTGGCACATCTTCGGCATGCTATCTGGGCTACTGTATTGAGCTTTTGTGGCTTCAAGCTGAGCGGGGGTTTGTGTGAGATTGGTGTTGTCACCAAGCAGGCCTCCCTTGCCAAAGTCAGTCTGCTGAGAGGGCAAGGTGTCATGGAGCCACTTATACTTCTGTGGCGGGGTCACTGGGCCTTTCTCACCCAAGGATAGATATGTTGACTTGCCATAGATCTGTGGCAACATTGTAACTTGGCTCGACATTCACGGGAAAACTTCTGGGCTTGGTTACCCCTGAGCATCATCATCTGTGTCTTGCTGAAAAGAGGGTGAGGCACAAAGACAAAGGTCAGGGCCGGGTCTTGTTGTTTGTAAGCCCCAACAACCTTGTTTTGGATGCTCAAACCTGGAAGCTCTTCTCCATGTCTGGTGGGCGCAGGAAAGGGGGCTTGGAAAACAATCATGCTTGCAGTTTGTGTCAAGTCATCTTGAGAGGATGGCAAATCAATAATCTCAGCTGAGAGTACTGATTGTGACGTTAGATTAGGAAACATCTTCAGGTTTGCAGCCATGTCGTCCATAGCAAGAGCTAGACTTGGCTTGAAGATCCACATCTCTTCTGTGAATTTCCCACTAGGAGGCGGCAGACTGGTATCATAGAGATGGTCTCTTTGCATCCGGATATCCGCTGATATCCGGATATCCGCTCTTAATTTCAGCAGAATTAGGCAATTTTGCTGAAATTAAGAGCAGATATCCGGATATCAGCGGATATCCGGATGCAAAGCGACCATCTCTACTGGTATCCACTTTGTTGGCACAGATGGAGCTTAAGTCAGACATCTGACAGCCAGCCATTGTTCCAATCCACAAGCGCATCTCATTGGTGATTGTTGAAACTGGAAGTGCCATCTGGTCCAATCAGTAGAGATACTTCATATCAACAGCTTGCTACATCCATAAAAGTCACCGTGCAATATCAACAGACTGCACCACCCACCTCAGACTACGCCAACCATTTCCACATCTGACAGTTATTTCAAATGTCAGAACCATAATCATCCTCATCTGAAACCTATTCTCTCATGTATAAAAGATGGTGTCTTCTGACTCCTTTGATTTCTTCCCAGGCCTTGGTCACTCTTCTTCTCTCAACCTACTTCACCAGCCTCATCACCAATCCTACCTCAAAAATATCAATGTCACTGCTCCAACAAATCAAAACCACTACACATTTAACTCAACCAAAACCAATCCTTCTGGACATCTTGTCCTATCTTCAACTTGATGAGAATTGCTGTTGAAGAACTTCATCAGACCCTGCTCCTTTTCATTCACTCTGTCACTGTTAAAAATCAATAACTAATCCTTCTTTTATTCAGTTCTATTTCTGTTATTGTCCTGCTGTCCTCAAGTTTAGTTGTCCGTCATCCGTTATAAATAACTTCTTGGGTATGTGTGATCAAGTTTTATTTCTCATTCTATAATTGTTACTTGTCTCTAATGCCTTGTATACAGCTCTGGTTTTCTATCTTTAAAAGTAATTCAGTCTAAAGTTCTTTAGTGATCCCCTCAACATTGGGGAGCCTGTACACAGGGATTTGGTGGCCCTCAGGTGAGATCAATGGTTGCACAGCAAAGAAACCAATGTAGATCCCGCCACTGTGAATGCAGGGCTTGGTGCCACTTTTAGCATATAGCTTGAGTTGGCTGAGTAGCCCTTCACTTTTTTCTTTGTCAACTGCTGCCCGGTTGGCAAGAATTGGTGAGAACCACTGGGTGTTGGTGAACCAGTATCCGCACTGGAGATAGTTTTCTATTGTGTCTTGGTTCTCACGCTGAGCTCACAAACCAAGAACAGCATGACACCCTGCTGACATGGAGTGCGCACAGCAACACTGTAGACCAAAGATTCTTCATCAGCCAGAACCTTACATGCAGCTTTCTTGCCTGAGACAGGCACTGATTGGGTGCCGGTGCGGAGGATGTTGTCAAAGAATACACCCATGTCACTGACAGACAGGCCAATCTGATTGGCCAGGGATTGAGTAGTTTCAAGGCAGTGGTCCTTGAACAATGCCAATTGAGCAGCATTTCTCAACAATGTGTATGAGGAGACTGGTTCCTTGCGGCTCCTGAAGGTTTGAGGCGCGCTACTAGCGGTAGTGGGTGGAAAAAATGAGGTGAGACTAGCGCTGGAACCCGTTCCCGGGATCTCCGGGTATACCCGGCGGGTACACCAACGGTTTAGGGCTCCGGGACAGCTCTTCAGGAGCCCGAAGACCGGCGGGTAGGTCAGGTACGGTCCACAGGCCGCCTTGGAGATACCCGCGGGTATCTCGGGTTTGCGCTGGGGGAGGGGCAGTGGGGGCCAATTGGCCTCTACTCCTCCACAAACCGGGGTACCCGCGGGTATCTCCAAGCCGGGATCTCGTATCGGCGGGTATCTGCGGTTATACCCTGTGGTGAGCGGGTATACCCGCCTTGAATTCAACCCCGCGGGTACCCGTGGCCCGTTCCCTTTACCCGCGGGTACGTCTCGGTCGCGTTGATTTCTGTACCTGAGGAACGGGAATACCCTCGGGTGGGGGCGCGGGCAAGGCCGAAAGGCTCGTGTACCCCGCAGGTTCCAGCGCTAGGTGAGACCCAGGGCGCTTGCGGCCCTGCAAGGAAGGTCCAGTCCCATGATAGGGAATATAGCCATTGGAACGTTGGTTGTATCAAGTTAAGCTCTTCAATGATACCCTGAGAAGACAAACGCATGGTTAGGAACCACAAGTTAAGTGACAAGAATTGGAGAAGAAAAGAAAAAGACTTACTTTCAGAGGAAAGTCTGTTTTAACTTCACCCATGGGTCACATAGCATCTGGGTTTACTAGCACTTGACCTGATTTGTCAAAAGTGGCTGATGCAATCATAACTCTTCTCAGGTAACGAGAAAATCCAAAAATACAATAATGAAAGAGATGACACAAACTCCAAAGCACATGACATTCATGGCTAAATATTTGTTGTTTGTTTATCAACACCAGGAATCTTGGCATGCAAGGTTATGGAAAAAAGGAGAAAACCAAGCTTACCAATTGTAAGAATGGTTGATGTTTGTTTGCCTTGAGTGAACCCTTCAGTTTTGACACATGGAACATAGCACCTGGTTCCAACAAGACCAAGATCTGCAAAAGCACATCATGGTGAGCTGGTGTATCACAAGCATGTACGGTGAATGACAGACAATGCATTCCAGAAACACCAGCAGCAAGACCTAAAGAACAAACCATCTTTTTCCACCAATTCACATGCCATTGGGCTTTGAAACTGTCAACAGAATAGCATTGACATCAGTGAGCTGTGGGGTCAAATACCATGAGACTGCTGGCAAACACGTACCGGAAGAAGACAAGGAGAGAAAGAGTTGAGGCAACACAAGCCAGGACGATTGAAAACACCAAATGAGGCAGATCATACTCTTGCTTGAAGTTGAAGGAGGACAGAAAACCAGCAGCTGCAAGTCTTTTTGAATAAGAAATCCAGTCACAAGAACAAGCATGTCAAGAATCTATAGCTCCCAATAGTGCATGAGTGCAAAGGTCCCGCCAACAATCAGTCCTCCAATGACAATCCTTAGACTAAGTAGCTCCTCAGAAGTATGCATCCGTAAACATTCTTTGATGGGCCAAAGTGAACGCTGAATGAAGCTTGCATTGACAGGATATAGACTTTCTGGTTTGATTTCCGTCCCTTCTTCACAATCATCCAAGGGGAGTGATTCTGGCCTGGCACCAATAAATACAAAAGCAAACACCAGTGAGAACATGGGTACAAACAAAGACAGTACTGTAAAGCCGGGACAGACTACAGTTCAAATTGTGCATCAGCAAAATGGCCTTCTCAATTACAATTTGCTGGATCAGAAGAGGCTCACATTGAATATACCAATCTATTCTGGGAGCTAGTGTCAAGGAGAAGTTCATTCCAATAAAGTGCATGTCTGAGGGGTAGGTTGGATGAGAGCAAAGTCAATTTAGAAAATCATCTTGAGATAAATATATAAATGCAGAAGCTTACCCCAAATTCCTCTATGATTCACAGCAAAAAAAAACCATGAGTGAGTTTCAGAACTCAGGAAGACTTGAACTAATCGGACTATTCTTACACACTGCCGCAAGCTCATAAGTCATGGCAAAAATGCCGGTGCTTTGTGGTGGATGTTTACGTGCTTACAATATATAATACTATGTGGTACACATGTTCCCAACCACATTATAAAAGGCTATGCCGCTTTAATTGGTCCAGAAATTGCTTCATAAGCTAGCACAAATGTTCATGTGCATGTACAGCGAGAATTATGTATTTTGTATGAATTGCAACTTGTTTGCGGATTGCCAAGCTGGCAAACAATTGCGCCGTACGGCTGCAACAGGCCCATTAAAGAATTGACCCTCAAGACAAATGGCTACAACAAGGACCGGGCGAATAGGACAAACAAGGGCCAATTCCGAAAGCGGGGAGTCCAGACTTTTTCAATGGTTCTTTATAATACCTTTAGGTCATACATAATACACAATTGCACTGATGGGGAAACAGAGCGGCATACGTGGGGTATTCGACGTTCTCCACTCTCTCCACAGGTTCATTCGCCAGCTCCGAGGCCTTGCCGATTCTTTGCGTCCTTTCAGCTGTGAATGAGGCTAGAATTGCCGATTGCACGTACCTCACCTCAGGCTGTCTGTGTAGAGATAACGATTTGAATACATGAAGTTTCAATGGACCAGGCAAAGGTTTTGCAAAGGCTTTAATCACATTACAAACCGTCTTGGTTTCCCAACTTGAGACACAAGTTAGATGCCTGTTTCCGGTACAAGACAAAGAAATCATGAAACGTTCGAGTCATGAACTTGACCGTTTCTCGTCATTATACATAGTAAACCTCTGAGTGCTATACTTTTTCCTCAACATACAATTCGTCCTTGTTGAAGCTATGGATGTGCTTTAGTTTACACATTATTGTACTATGCTTTTGAATGCGTAAACCTTACACCTTGTTTGGGCCATATGAAGTTGGTCTCCGATCCTGACCCCATGTGTCGAACCAAAACAAGCATTTCCTTGCATCAATCATGTCAGAAAAGTGGTAATGTTGGCCATTTCTTGGTTACTTGGATGGAGGAGTAGTTTATAAAAATGGAAAGAGACACGATTGTACCGCCATCCACTCTCTGTTCTGATTCACACTTAGTATAGTTAATTGCATGCATACCTTTCAAGTTTTGAAAAAGGCAGAGATGGAGGTGTCTTGATTTTCAGTTTCAATGATAACAACTACATTAAGTTGGGTCATTTGAGTTAGACTGATGGATTGCAGAAGTTCGAGTGTGCTTGATGATGGAATGGAGCTTACTATTTTTTTTTTTTAGTTTTACATACAGTACTCCATTTTGTTGGAGATTTCTGGTAAATCAAATCTGAATGGATAAAATGACAATTCAAGGGAGGAAGGATTTCAATTGAAGACTGGGAGCGCTCTCATCTGATTATCAACTGATCTCCTAAACATCTCATTATCGATCCCTCTTCCTGATTGTTTGCTTTCAATAGACACTAAGGGGTTTCGAACCTGGATTGTCGTTCGGTGAGCCCAAGGGGGATCGTGCAAGAAGGAAAAAAATGACAAAGAAAACAGACATCAACATTGTACTTGCGCCAATTTTCCATGAGAAATAAAACTCTAGTTCCGTACCACAAAGTCCAGCCAAGCAGTCCTCCATAGGGTTTTAAGAGTCGGTCGCAAACTCTCGGGCATCGGGGATGTGAAAAGGGCAAAAGTATGATTTGTGGGTGTGGTGAGGATATGTAAGGTGTATGCTGAAGTGGTGTAACCATGTAGAACCTCCTGCCTTGAGTAGAAAAATCGGAGGAGTCAAGTAGATTAGATCCGATCACGCTCAAATTCAAGGAGAGACTCAGCACTCACTTGCCAGCCAGTTTTTGAACCATATTCCTCAGACTGAAGACGACACCATAGACCAATTTAGCTTCTTCATCAAACGGTAAGCCTGGGTTTTTAGAGGCTTGAGTTTGGTCATCGTTTGCATTCTCTGTAGCTGACTTCAAGAGTTGGTTGGTGTTGATAGACGGGATTGAGCTCTTCAAGGTCGAAGATGAGACCAGAGATTGCAGATCGCTCGGTACCTCTTCACCTCCGATCACGACACCCGTTCGATTGCTAAACGGAAGATTGCCCATGGCACTCTGTTGCCGAGTAAGATCAGTGTTCATGATCGTTTGACTGGGCTCTTTCATCGGCGAAATCGCTGGCGAAACACATGGCAGTACGTTAGGATCGGGCCTGGCTGCTTTCAAAGGCGATCGATGCCAATCTTGATAGTAGACTTGAGAAGCGAATCCATACTCCTATTAGGCCAGACCATTCACCACGATGTGTAGATATCTATGTCCTGGAATCACGCACCAGCAACACAATGTCGATCGAAAACGTAGAATGAGTAAATCGTCATCTGGGGGAATTCAAATTAAAATCAGCTTACATCTAGTGAAAAAGCGTTCCATGGAGGGAAGTAAACCGAGATTTTTGAATCTGTGAGCAGGTACATACGTGATGAATTCGTGGTAGTGATTTGGGTTCCTATTCTTCGGTTTTGTCGCTGGTTTCCTGATTTGATGGTCAAGTGGTACTTTTCCACCGAGGTTCCCGTTCTAGTTCGGGAAGTAGGTTTGGCCCCGAAGCACCATTCGGCCGATATCGGGGGTACCGGGTATATGTACAGTCTACAGATGTGAAATAGCGGCATTTATGATTAACATTAATTTATCAATTTTTTGAGCCCATTCTAAGGCCTCTATCAACAACACTTCAAGAGTTTTAAAAATGAATCGGTTGGTGGTGGTTTTGGGGGGGGGGGGGGGTGGTCCTGAACAATCCACACAGTTTTTTAATTTTTGAAAAAAGTACTGATATGTGAGAGCAACTCCACCGCGGGCCGTAAATCGGGGCCGTAGGTGGAATTTACGGACTCGACACGGCCCACCGCGGTCCCTATAATTTACGGCAGTCCCTAAAATCTGTGCGAGAGTCCTCAGATGTAGGGACTCCTACGGCCTCGTCCATCTCCTACAAACTCGACTTTCACAAGTCCAAGCATTGTGAAAGTTGGCTTCATCCCATCAATCACACCCCCGATCTTCATCCCCTGTCCATATCATCATATCCAGCTCTACATATATCAACCGATATCCCTTTCACATCCAATCATGATCGATCCTGCACTTCAAGCACTCATGTCAAGAACCAACGAAGGTAATTACTACCCTGCTGCATTTGAGCAAGTTTTATCCTGACGTCTTCCGGGATTCTTTTACCAGACTCAACCGAAATAGAAATGTTGTCGGCTCCACAAACAACAACCAGAAAAAGGAATATGTCTACCACAGATGGTCAGTCATATGACTTTTCTTGTTTTTGGCACCTTAGCTTACCATTGTTTTTTGGGTTTTAGATACACCTTCTAGCACTGCCTCAACCCCAAAGAATCCACCGAAAAAGACTGTCAAGCCCAAAAAATTGGTGCAGAACAAAAAAAAAGAGACTCCAAAGGCGAATGCGACTCCGAAAGCAAATGCGACTCCGAAAGCGGTTCAAACTCCAAACGTGATTGACACTCCGAATGCGGCTGAAACTCCGAAGGCAATTGACCCCGTTCCCAACCAAGCAACCCAAAGTGAAGCTGGCGACGACAGTGATTCGGAGGACGAAGAAGGCGAAAAAAAATCCCGCGCTCCCAACTATCAAGAACACGAGGATCTCCAGCTTTGTACTTCGTGGCTTGAGACGACTGAGGATGGGAGGAAAGGTACCGATCAGACTGGAAAGGCTTTTTGGGGAACGGTCACAAGCCACTATCACTCAAAGATCACCGACCCCAAGCGATCGATTCGAAGCATCAAAGGTCGATGGGGCCTCATACAACATGCTCTCAACAAGTTCCATGGTTGTGTCAATCAGATCAACCACAGGAATCCGAGTGGTACAACTGCCACCAATCGGATCAGTATGGCCCTCACCTTGTTCACCCAACTTCACGATAAACCGTTCACTTATATGTGCTGTTACAATCTCCTCTCGACTTCGCCGAAGTGGCACGAATACAACATCTCGATGGATAAGAAACATGAGGGCAGAAAGGCGACAAATGTGAATCCGTCAAGCCCTTTACCTGGCTTCTTACCCAGCTCGACTCCTGCAGATACCACCCGTGGAACATCAGAAGCTTCTGAAGACGAGAGTACTCAACAAGAGCCGACTCGTCCAATTGGTCGCAAAAAGGCAAAAGTTGCCTATCAAGAAGAGAAGCTCGATGCGTCTAATCACGAACATCTCAAGAAGATGGCCAGTGCGCATGTCGACATAGCGGAGGCTGTCAAAAATCAAAAAAATGCAATCTCGGCTCAACAGTCTGCTCTTGAACGCCTTGCCGATGAGGCGATCATGAGCAAAGATCTCACTGGGGCCGATGACGACGTTAGGAGATACTATTCGCTTCAACGTAAGAGAATTTTAGCTCGTCTTGAGAAGGAAGTGTCAGAGTCAGCCCCAGCAGCTCCGAGCACCTAGCAGCCATTTCTCTCTCACTGTTTACTATTTAATTTGGCTTGATGAATCTACTCCCCCAAAATTGTTACTCAACCTTTTTTTTTGTTACTCAAACTCTTTTTTTCACTGAAATGATCCAACAAATCAATAAAAACAACTCAAACTTTTTTTTCTTTTCTTTTTTTTTCACTGAAATGATTCATGAAATCAATAACCATAAATTTGTTACTCAAGTGTTTTTGCTCATTGAAATAAATCAAGTTACATCCTGCTCAAATTTTTTTCTCAGTGAAATCAGTGAAAAAAAAAATGTAACTCAAATTTTCTGGCCCAACCAGAAGATTTCAATAAGTAATTAAGAATAAATTTCATGCTACTTCAAATAATAAAAACAAACACAAAAAACAGACAACATGATTAATGGTCATCATTCTCTGAGACAATCTCTTTCCCTTTCCGTGCCCACAAATGAGCAATCAGATCGTTCCGCAAAGCATAATGCAAATCAGCATTCCTGATTTGTTGTATATTTGAAACAAAAGTTGAGAAATCCGCGCGACGGCTTGTAATCGGGTTGATGAGCTGAGAAGACATGTTCTGTGTTGCCGATGCATTTGTATCGTAGATGTGATCGAGATTCTCGTTTCGCTCATCCTCCACAATCATATTGTGGAGGATGATACACGTCTTCATGACCAAGTGTAGCTTCTTGGCACTCCATGATAGTGCAGGTCGAGCGACTATTGCAAATCGGGCCTGCAGGACCCCAAACGCCCTCTCCACGTCCTTTCGCGCGGCCTCCTGCATCTTTGCAAAATGCTGCCAGAACGGTTAGAGTCAATGAAACTGAAATAACAACAAAAGATAGGTTCAAAAATTACTTACCTGTCTTTCTAGCCCTTGCGGCTGAGAAATTGTCTTGATGAGTGTTGAATAATCGGGGTATATCCCATCGGCTAGATAATATCCTTGGTAATACGACTTGCCGTTGACCTTGTATTCACATCGAGGGGTGATGCCGTTCATCAAGTCGGAGAAAACCGGAGAAGAATCGAGTACATTGATGTCGTTGTTGGATCCTGGCATTCCGAAGAACGCATGCCAAATCCATAGGTCATACGAGGCAACCGCCTCCAATACTATAGTCGGAACCTTTAATTAAAACAAAAAATGACAATAACATCTTTGAGTGATTAGAAAATGAAATTATCAAGAGAGATCAACTAACTTTTTCCTTTCCCTGGTACTGTCCATGCCATGCAGTTGGACAGTTTTTCCATTCCCAATGCATGCAGTCGATTGAGCCAAGCATGCCTGGGAAGCCTCGAGCCTTTCCAACAGCCAATAACTTTTTAACATCGCTCTCGTTTGGTGATCGCAGATACTCGGCGCTGTACAAGTCAATCACTGCGTTACAGAATCTATACAAACTTTTGGCGGCAGTCGATTCCCCAATACGAATATATTCATCATTTGCATCGAATGAGCCGCCATACGCCAAGACTCGAAGAGAAGAAGTAATCTTTTGAATGCCTCGTAAGCCCGGATTCCCCAATGCGTCATTCTTGTGAGAGAAATAATCGTCGTGTTGTTCAACGTCTTGGACAATCTTCAAGAAAAGAGCTCTATGCATCCGGAACCGCCGTCGAAATAGATAGTCGGTGTAGATAGGTGATTTGGAAAAATAGTCATGATAGAGTCGTTGGTAGCCTGCTTCAAAGTCACGTCGAAGATTTGGTGCTTGCCCTTTTCTTGATCCGCCTCGTTTTGGTGGTTCCTTGACACGTTTTTTGCTTTCTTGTCGGATTATTTCTTGAGTAATCGCCGCTCCGCCTGGAAGTATTACCGAAATCAATTGTGTGTTGTTGAGAAGAATTGAATTTTGTTCGTTAATGACGTTTTGAATAATGGAAAGACGATCCATTAGTTGGAGTAGGTTGGTGAATCGTTGAATCAAGGCTAGATAGGCTCTTTGTGCATGGAGAGATAGGGGGGACAAGGGGGAATGCCGGGGAACACCTTTCATCAATTTTTACGGTCTTATTTTTCAATTTGCGGTGTATGCCGCAGCAGTTTGAGGCCGTAAAGGCAGCTGCGCATTCCCAAATTTCAAATTTTAACGGCCCGGAATTAGGGTCCGCGGTGGAACTGCTCTGAACACCTTGAAATGGGCTCTAATATTGGATAAATCCCATTGTGAACCCCACTTTTGGGGTTAAAAGATAAACAGCAAAATTAGGGGCTTGGCTCATTAACTCCCAAAGGTTGGAGAGTCGACTCCCCAACCCCCAAACCCCCGAATTTTCAAACCAAGTACCCACACATCTTTGTATATAAACTCTATTCATCTATGCAACCATGTTTTCCATCTCATCTACTCAGATCCTGACATCTCAGCTCTTTAGTGAACCCCATTCAAAGGGTTATTTGATTTTGTTTGTTATTAAAATAATTTGGGAGCTGAATCCTATTCCCACTACAGGAAGTATGGGAGGAACAACTCCCAACCTTCAGGGGGGGGGGGCACAAAATTGGGGCTGGGAACAACCTTAGACAGTCCTCAAGCCATCCTCCCAACAAGTCTCAAATTGATTAACCAAGGCCCTTGCATTACCTCTGAATCAATAGGAATTTCACTTTTTTTGGATAAAAACAATTTTCCTGCAGACATTTATAAAATGCCATTATTTATCAAACATTTTGTTGCTGGCAACTCATTAGTGAAATAGATCGAGTTCAACAGGAGTACTTGTGGATGATTCAGGTGATGAAACAAGTTTTTGTGGATTGCGGTGCCTACATCCTTCACTTGCATCAAGACTCCCCATGTTTTGCAATGTGAGCTCCTTGCATGATACACATCGATGACTTTGTTTGGTGCGTAGCAATAGGCATTCTTGGTTTGTCCTTTTGTCGACTTCACCACAAGTTTCCTTACATGGGTAAGGAGGTACTGGGAAATGGTACATCCTTTTGCCACACCAGGCACATTTTGAAGGGCAGACACACATGTCAGTTAAGGTGCCAGCCACAGCAATGCTCAAGGAAATTTTGAACAGGTTCATGGACATTGATAGTAATTATCCAAGAAGGGGGTCTGGGGACTTCAACAGGGTTTGAACTTGGGTGGAATATGTTTCAAGGTATGGATAGGGGTGACCAAGTAGAAGATGAGCTTTGACTCTTCAGCTATTAATGATCAGGGGACATCAGGTCACCTCCATGTCGCATATTTAACAATGCCAAGTTAAGCATGCAAAGATTGAAACATCAATAACTCAGGACTGGAGTGGCATGCAATCAAACAGCCCTCATTAGGTCATTTGAGCTTCTAATACCTGTCTCTGGAGGTATGTAGTTCATTTAAGTTCAAATTTTTGATTTTTAATGTTAGAATATCAAAAATAATTCCCTAGTAGGATGTAGCTACACCTGTTGGAATAGTGGTCTTTTTCTTTTCTTTTCTATGCTTCTCACCTGTCACACACATCACACCAGATCTGGAGTATACCTGCACCAGAGTATGTGGAAGGATTCTTTAGGGTGTGGACCACAGTGCTTCCCAACTGGAAAATTGATTCTGAACCATTTTTTTGCACTTTTTTTTTAAACAGAATTAAAAATCACTTTTTCAGAAAACATTCACCACAATCTGTTCTTTCAACTTGCTATCACCCACTGCTTGCACTTAATCTCCATAAATTCACAGCCACCCCTCAACACAGCTCACTTCATCTTTATCTCAGCCACCCCTCAACACCCTCACATTTCTTCTGTTGTTCATGAGGTTCTCTCTTTTCAAGTGCAACTTAATCATTGAGATCAAAAAGCATGTCTATCAGACCCTGATGATAATCAATTGAAAGACATCACTGCCAAAATGATTGTATCAGATTGCTATATCTGGCATTATGTCAGATAGAAATATCTGATATTACATCAGGAAAGACTGGGATTGTATCTAACTAAAATTATATTGTGTCTATCATGAAAGATATTAAATTGGACCACCCTATTCAATTTAAACATAAATGAATTCATATCAGAGTTTTCTATCTGATTTCATGCCCATGGGCTAAAAGTTTGTATCAGATGTAAAAATCTGATATAAAATCAGTTATGTTGACATTAAATAGGTTGGGCTGATGCAATATCTGTTATGATAGATATAACATGGTTTTAGGTAGATACAATGTCACTCCTGATAGATATAATACCAGTTTTGCCTGATGTATCATCAGATTTTTCATCTGATGTAATGCCAGATGTGGGAATCTGATATAATCACATTTGCAGTGCATGAACTGTTGGTTTAATTGTTGAATAAACCAAGGCATTTACTCTAATTGCTTCAGTGGTAAAAGACAATAAAAAACAATCAAGAAGAAGAATGGTTGAGAGGACATCACAAGTAAGATGAAGTAATAAAAACACAGTGGTGTTGATGAAGATAAAAGAGAAAGAATAATAGTAAAGAAGCAACTCAGCCAATTGGAGCTTGAAGGCTGACATTGATTGATTTGTGAGTTGAAGAGGATTTGTCTGGTCAATATTTTTTGGAAGGAGAAGGCTGTTTTTGAAGATCCATGGTTGAAATTGTAGTAAAGTGTTAATGATGGTAGTGGGAAATCAGATTTACCCAATGGTTGAGGCTGAGCAGGCAAAGATGTCTTGAAGATTATGAGATCAATTCTGTGTAAAGTACATATCTATTTTGATTTTTTGGAGACAAGAGGGCAGGGGTTACTTTTGATAGAATTTGGAACTGAAGGATTTATTTCTTTATAAGTATTTCTCCTTCTAACAAAATACAATAATTAATTTTGAGATATGATAATTGAAGAGATTAGGTTTTGCTAAGATATTTTAGTTTAGAGAATAAATATTACTGAATACGTTTATCAGAAGAGCATTTAACTGTTAGTTATCTTCATTACTTATCATCATGTTATTTTAGTGTTGAAATAAGAGAAACGTTTTACTTCGTAAATAAAGAATAATTCTTATTCTGATTATAACTTGAGCAATGTTATTTTTTCCATGAGTTCAATACATGTTCATCAATAAGAATAATATTCAGTTATTTTATTTTCTCTTTTTCTTATTATAAGAAAAGGCTCAAGAAGTTTTTCTTCTTGCTTACCACTTGTTGGTGGAAATATACAATTAATCAGATTGATTGATGAAGATTGTGTTTGTTCAATTCCTTACTCTTTTGATCATATCAATTGAGACTCACCTAGAGCTTGATGATTGATGATGATCATCATTTCTTTCTAAGCTCATGAAGCCAGTGATTTCATCTGTTGATTCAAAAGCCAAAAGCTTGGTTTGATCTTGCTTGCTTGTGAAACAGTCTAACCCTACACATGATCAAAATTCCACTAATCAGCGCAATGAAAATTGTTTCTTCAAGAATTTTATCAATCAAATTGATAAACTTACCTGAAAATCTCCTCTTTTGAGGGCTAAGACCATCTCCACCCCAAAGGGTCGTTTGAGTTGCTAAATTTACAAACTTTTCAACTGCGGCGCGCCTATAGCTACCCGGTGAAACTTGATTTTCCACCGCAGGGTGATCAAGTAGGTGTGTTGTGTGTGAAAGGCCACCCAAAAGGGGAGGAGGATCTGGATTTCACCAGAATCGACCTGTGAAACCATTGGGTTGGGGAGGTACATGGGTTGGTATGCGATTGCACATCTAGCAATGCTATACCTCCCGAGGGGGGGAAAACTGTTGAGGGGCACAGGGACCGAAACTGCGACTGAAGTCGAGACTCACTTGTGGGACTTGACAATGAGAAACTAGTATGTTGATTCAGTGAGGGAGAAAGTGCTACGAGGGAGTCCGGTGTTCAGTAGTAATGGAAAGCTTGATATAAGCATAACTATGTACAAGCATCAAGTACTACATACGGGATTCACCATCCCAACATCCCCCCTTGCTGATAACAAGCTATTTCTTCAGCACCATGATGGAAATAAATAATAGAAAATTTGGAAATTGTACTAGACTTAGTAGAATTACCATACAGTAGGCTAAAATAAATTTGTAGCGTACTAAGAAAATAAAAAAAACGACAGACGGAGCTCAGTTACTCGTAGATAACACCAATTTCATCATCATCATCAAAGGAGCCGGAGTCGTATCCTCCTAACTTGACAGTGGTTGCGGCGCCGGCTTTGGTTTTCACGTGATTCTTCTTTCGGCAATCAGACGAACGGTGACCCCGTTTTCCGCAGTTGGAGCAAGCAAGGTGCTTGGCTGAGGCAGCGGAGACGAGATCATGCTGGGTGTTTCCATTTAAGCTGACTTCGTGAGCTTCAAGCGCTCCAATTGTGTCGTCCAACGACATCTCAATGGCAGTGTACATGATCGAATCCCGCACAGCAGACCAGGAGGAGTCTAATCCTCCGACTAGACGGTCGGCGATTTGTCGATCGGTTGGAAGTTCTCCGATCGAGAGGAGTTCATCAGCCGCCACTCGAAGACAACCAATCCAGAGAGCAATCGGTTTGTTAGGGTCATGGCGCGCTGTCCAGAACGACTCCTGTAGTCGGATGCGACGAGCCCTTGTATTCTTCTCGTAGGCGTTCACGATGGTACTGAATAGACGAGAGGCGGGCTTGACTTTGCGGTATCGTTGCGCCAGCGGATCAGTCAAGGTGAGCCGGATAGTCGAGCAGGCCATTTCTGAAAGGGCATCCCAGTCTTCTTTGATCTCTTTTGGGTTGTAACCTTTTGAATCGACGGGGCGAGAAGAGGAGGTGTTAACGTCCTTTGAGTCCTCTTTTGGACGAGGTAGGGTTCCTTTGACGATGTCCAGTGTGTTTTGCATTCCAAGGACGTCTTCAAGACGAGAACGCCATCGAGGAAAGACCGATGCAGTTCCATCCAACGATTCGACAGTGGAGATCAAGGAGGATACATTCTGTACTTGACGGTAACCGGACATTCTTTGAGTAGTCGGAGATGCCAGATGGAACGATTCGATTGATGACTAGTTGAGAGGAATATGACTTGACGTGATCGACGAGTCGGCGACTAGTTGATTGATGACAGATAAAAAATTGAGTGGATGTAAGAGCGAGACTAGAGGGGTCTCATAACCTGTTGAGGGGCACAGGGACCGAAACTGCGACTGAAGTCGAGACTCACTTGTGGGACTTGACAATGAGAAACTAGTATGTTGATTCAGTGAGGGAGAAAGTGCTACGAGGGAGTCCGGTGTTCAGTAGTAATGGAAAGCTTGATATAAGCATAACTATGTACAAGCATCAAGTACTACATACGGGATTCACCATCCCAACAAAAACTACATTCACCTCCTCTTTAGCACCCCCGGTGGCAGGGGTTATTTGAGCTTGGGGGGGTAAATTTGGCTTACCACCACAGTTTACCTCCCCAGGTGGAGATGGTCTAAGACAAGGAGTGACATTCCAACAATTTTTACAACAGGGGCTGTATCCAAAGATGGTAGCAAATGTGAAAAAACAATATCTTGGGTTGTGGAAAAAACTGACCACTATGGCACACATTTTTTGTCAGAATCAATTACTCCTAAAAATTGAAAATCGGCAGCCAAAAGGTGGCTAAGGTAACCCCTTCCTTCCACAAACCTCACACTCTGTCCCAGCTCATTCCATCGGGCTATGAGCATTATTGTGCCATAGCTTGACCATTCACATTGCTTGGACAAACCAAGGTTTTCCAAGTGCCAAAGTTATGTTGTTATGCTGCTGTGCAGCAGTTTTGCCTGCTTTTTTTGCAACACAGCTCTGGTTTGATTCACCTTGCTGTGCTCAAGCAGACACCAGCATCCTAGCCGGCCACCACCACCACCAATACCAATTATCCTGGCATTGATCTCATGCAGAACATCAATAGATGATTTTTCAATTGTCCAAAGCATTCACCAAGGCTTGCACCAAGGATGTAACAGATCCGATCCCCGGATCGGTATTTATCGGGGATCGGATCGAAAATGGACCCGATACTGGGTATTGGTATTGGATCGCTCCACCCAATCCAATCCCAATGTATTGGACAACTGGGATTGGGTGGAGCGATCCGATACCGATATAAAGATGGACATCGGTACCCGTTTGGAGGTACCCGGCACCTGTTTGCCTGGTACCGCCCGGACCCTCCTGGCACCTGCAAGGGGGTGCCAGGTGAGGTACCTGGTGTCCATTTCTGAGCAAAATGAAGGCGGTACCAGGGTACCGCTAGAGGTACCCTCTTTAATGCGCAGTCACTGAGTAAGGGGATGGCCATTTCCTTCTACTAAAAAAATGGGATGATAAAGGAAGGGGTGTTGGCCAAGTGGAAAGATGGTATTCAGACTGCTAAGAGGGGTAAATAAGATGGGAAAGGTAAAAGAAAGGTGATAGTATTAGAAGATTAGCTCAACACAATACTTGCATGTAGTGAGAAAAAAAAGTGAACTGCAATTTCAAGTCATAAGAGTGCCATTTGCACCACAGCCGTGGGTACCGCTGGTATCCCCCAAAGTACCGCTGGTACCCGCCAGGGGGTGCCAGGTGAGGTACCTGGTGTCAATTTCTGAGCAAAACAAAGGAGGTACCAGGGTACCGCTAGAGGTACCCGGGTACCAATGGCCAACTAATGGTGCTTGAAGGACTCTGTTTTTTGACCATACAAAGGCTGGAATTTTGATTTCCCAGAGGTTGTTTTGCCATACAAAGAGATCTAATAGTTCCTTTTGTTCTGATTTGTCTGATTGAACTTGGCTTTGCAGCATTCAAACAGCACCTACAAGCCTTGCAAGTCTTACAAGTTACATCATATGATGGTCAATCTTGGCTAAAAGGCTTACAGACACTGTCAGTACCGTGTTCCGAATCCCACCATACTCAACAATTTCCTTGACATTTTCATCTTTGTTTTCCTACCACCGGTTTGTTCTGATCATTGACATCCAAATCATGTCTTGCTTTTTGGGCACTTGGTCACCTCTCTGGATTATTATGCATGTTATCCCCTCAGCGATCTATCACAAACACATCAAATAACCATAGGGCAATCAATTGGTGTTGGCATTGTACCCAAATTTGTTGTTTATCTGCAGCCCTTTCATGGTTTGAATGTTGTTGCTACTCCCAAAAAACACCTGGGGGGGAATCAAAAATTTTCTTTTCTTTTCTTGTTTTTTTCTGAGGTCCGACCTCTAAACAAGTTGGACCTTTTGGAGGTCTAACTCCCAAAAAACCGGGGAGAAAAAAACTTAGGGGGGTCAATGTCCAGGGGAACCTCCGCAGCCAGTCCCCTCAACGTCCCAAACATTTGGGATTGGGAACTCCCATATTTGGGAGTCGGTTGACTAAGGCCCTTTTTTATTTGATAATCATGAGGCAACTTCCCGTCAACATCTGCGGGTCTCCCAGACTCAGAGCCAGTTTAGAGCCTCAAAATTCAAATATCTCTGCAAGAATTAAGAGATTTTGGGTCTAGATTGACTTCTGTGAGGGTCCCAGATCCAACAGGAAGTCCTCCATTGAATGACTTCCCGTCAACATCTGCGGGTCTCCCAGTTTTGATTTAAAGCCGCGAAAGCTAGATTTCCCTGCAAAAATCTAGACTTTTTGGGTCTAAATTGCAAACTGCGAGGGTCCCACACCATGAAAAATTTGAGGGCAGGACATGTCAGGTGACATGAAGCTAACTCCTGCCTTTATTCCAGTGTTAATTCAAAGTCAAAGGGTTGGGACTCTCTGATGACCACAAAGGGTTGATTGTTATTTGAGAAGACAAGCACAAGAGTAACAATGGAGTTGTAACATATTTAACTTCATGTCACCTGACACCTACTGTCCTCAGATATTTCCTGGTGCCAGATCCGAAAGGAAGTCCTCCATTCTCCCGCATCTCAGCTAAACTCCCCATGTTTTGTTTTATTTTTAAAAAAATTGAATTTTGCTTTTTTTTAAAAAAAAACTAGGGTTTAGCGGCGGCTTCGCCGCCTTGTTCCTCAATCCTATCGCTCATGGTTGCTTAACTTTCACCCAAGCATAAATTAAAGTCCTCAATCAGATCAAATCATTTTGATAATAATACCTGAGGCTGTGCACGTGATTCACCCCAATTCATCAATATTATGTGCTGTTCTCGCTAACAATATCACCTTTGGGCTCACCCAAAAGTTAAGTACAATTTTGAGAATTACAACACTACAGATGTTACCTCCACCTCACAATCTTCATTTCTATGCTATCCTTGTGATTTCCATCATCTATTGACAAATTTATTGTAAACAAATCTCCATATTTTATAAATAAAACTCCTGGAGCCCACCCTTTGCCCTATTTGAGGTGACATTGGCCAATCCAACCTATACTGACACATAGGGGATCTCTCTTCCCCTCATGCTTCTCGCTGACAAGGATAATTAATGTAAGTTCACCCTTCTGAAAAGTTTCCACTACTGTTTTCCCTTGGTTATATAAATAGGTCTTTATTTACAACATTCGTAATACTCTTTGTTGATCCCAGCTGAACCACGGACAACTTCCCAGAGGTATGGAAAGACATTCATAAACAGGATTGGATAGTTGAGGGTTTACAATTATGGAAGGTGATCCTTAAGCTCTTGTTGTGAATTTAGGAATTGGCAAGGTTTGTAATGCTCTTGTTCGAAGCTCTCTGTCATCACCGCTCGTTTGGATAAGTAGCTTGTCTCTGCTCTTGGTAAATGTGTGTCAGGTCAAGTCAATGGGAGACCCCCAAATTTCTTAAATTGGAACAGGTAATCAATGTTATTTCCTTTCTAAGTGATGGTTAGGAATTGAAATTTACAAGGAAAGCTTAGAATACGGTAAGGTGTAAATTGGTGATGAGTTGGGTGTAGAGTCAGAAGCAGAAGGATGATGGAAAAGGAAATTTAATGTTAGGTGAAATAGGAAACGTGCGGTGAGTGGTGAATGTATAGGCGGGGGTTCAAGGCATGAAGAGTTGTGAAGTTGGAACAAAAGGTCAGACATCAGTATAAAAGGAGGGCTACTGGGAAGCGGTAGAATCCATTGTATGATTCTTGTCAATCGGGGGACAATACCCGTCATGAGGAGGGGTATAAGTTTTTTTATTTAGGACAGAGGCGGCTTGAAATGTGAACCGTCCTGTTCTGTTGTTTCATACTCTTTTTTATCATCTCCCTATCTACCACTCCGCAAAAAATGGGAAATAAAGAATGAGTATATTTTTTTTTAAAATCCAACCGCCATAAACATCTGGGAGGATACTTTCAACCTCAATGCTCTCTGGCCAGGGGGAATCCCTCCAGGCCAATCAACACTGGAGAGCGCAATTGGCTCTTGGTGATCGGTTGGGGCAACTGGTTGAGGTTTCAAAAGTCCTTGATTTGCTGTGGAAGTTGTCAGTTTAGGTGGATGGGGATGGGGTGGGATATCATCTGATGAACCTTCCATTCCAAGCCAGGCACCTTTCCTCCCCAAGCAAACTTCTTCAAGCACCATTATATACAAATCAGAACACAATGAAAACCCAGCTGAGCGCTTTCCTCAGTCATCCTTCTCTCTCCTTCTCCCTCCTCGTCCTCCACCAATCCTCCGTCGCACTAATCAAGCGCTCCCGAACGAAGCCCGGCTCCGACTCCGACGACTCCGAGTACTCCGACTCCGGCGAGCTCTACAACCCAGCAACCGCCATCTTCCTGACCGAAGCACTCAAAGCACTCATCAGTCTCACCATCCTACTCATCCAATACCCTTCTCCCTCTCTGTACCCTTGCTCTCTCTTCACCCGTCTTCGTCTGCTTCTCTTCCACTCCCTTGGGCCCCATCATGCTCTCCATATCCTCGATATGTTCATCCCTGCTTTCCTCTATACGTACGTCCGTACATCTGTAGTCGTCTTCTCCAACGATACCAAGCTTGTCTACCAATATAACACTTAACTGAAATCACGTGTTTGTAATCGTTGTATCTGCTCTCCGATTCTTGTAAAAACAAAAATCAACAAATCCCCATCCTTTTTTCTATCGTCTCTACAACGCAAAAAAAAAAAAAATCGAATAATCGTATTCGGGATCATATTATTAGCGTACAAAACCATTTACTGTACATCAGTATAACGGAACTAGAGCCGGCGATCTACCTCCTCACCTCGCAACTCAAGATCCTAACGAGTGCCTTGAGTTCGGTGATGATCTGTGAGCGGAAGTTAGTGAGGCCGCAATGGATGTGTCTTTGGACCCTAGTTCTGGGGGTGATGATGGTCCAGTTCGAGCCGATCGATCAGCACCACCACCCTCAACAAATGTTTACATGGAGAGCTGCACACCATCTCAGAGGGATCTTCGCCCTCGTCCTCTCGGCCATTGCTTCCGGCCTCGCAGGCGCTTGGTTCGAACGCTCCCTCTTACTCAACAAACAAGCTAACCCTCAACATCCAACTCAAACCCTTATAACAACAAAACACGAACAACATCAAGATGTCCATGAGGAGCACCCGACGAAAGACCGCCCAACGTCGCCCTCCAAGTCGAATCGCTTGGCTCATCATATCCTCGAGCCTTCGCCAAGTCGACCTAAAGAAGAGGGGCCCAATCTGTGGACAAAGAACCTCCAGTTATCCGTGCCGAGTCTCTTGATCTCGTATCTGATGATCTATGTTGCGCCCGAGTCGCGCAAACACGTCCGCGAACACGGCTTCTTCTTCGGCTTCCTGGGCTCCCAATATTTGATAAGCCCTACAAGTGCCCATCACTCCTCCAACGCCGGCCCCTCAACTCGCATCTGGCTCGTCTGGGCTATCATCCTCTATCATTCCGTGGGCGGCATCCTCGTCTCTATCATCGTCAAACAGTCCGGTCACTTGGTCAAGAACTTCGCGACCTGTTTCTCCATCGTTTGTTCGTCATCCTTCCCTCTTGTATTTATCCCCTTCTTATCATCTTCTTGATATATATTTACACTCACCTTGCTTTTCGTCCCATTCAAATCTCTCACACATATATGCGGATTTGGGCGGATCGTATCTAGTATCTATCTTGGCTTCTTCGTACTCTAATCAGACTCCATTGGGCTTCAACTTCTATCTGGGCAGTTTCTTGGTCTTGGTCTCTATCAAATCGTTTACTTCCTTTGAATCTCCATACCACACAAAAATCAAACCTAATTGATTCTTCAATCTTCTTCTTCTTCTTCTTCTTTGTATCTTTCCTTCTCACTACTCCCTCCCCCTTTCTTAATCCCCCTGCCCCCCTGTCATATCATTTTGCTAAATAAAGAAAATAAAGAAGATTTTTTTTTCAAATAAAAAAATTCTATGATTATCTTCCATAGAAAGTTATGTATGTATTTTTGAAATGAAAAAAATTAGTTGCAAATTTTTTTGAGACAAAGAGTGGTATTGTCATTTGAAGAAAGCCTGGCCATGATTTACTTTTTGCTGTTCACAAAACCATGGTATCACAAGATCTGTTATGTTTGTCTTGTGAAATCATGACCAACAATATGATGGGTTGGACTGTGGAGGAAGAAAACAGCACAAGCTATGCTGTTTGTCAACCTTAGAGACATTTTGACATGTCCTAAAGGTTTCACAAAACAATCAAAACAAATTAAAAATAATAATTATTGAAATTAATTATATAGATTTCACTTACATGTTAAGAGGTTTCACAGATATGTGATCTCTTGAAATTAAGATCAATCAAAGAAAACCAAATCCTTTGAATATTGAAAGCAATCTTCAAAAAATGACTTCAGCCTTGCAAGATGATCAAATAAAGGCAATGCAAACAATACCAAGCTTTGGAAGAAGGACTGGTACAAAGTATTCAACCCCTGAGACCAGAACTGTCCTTCCTCCCTCCTCAGCAAAAAAATTCTTCTTACCTCTCATACTTACTTTTGAGACAACAAAATAAAAAGGAAATTAGTTAGTGTAACTCACCGGAAAACAAATCTTTCTGTTTGCCTTACTCTATCTAATCCCCTTCTTACTAATTGTCTACATAATTAGTTTTGAGATTAAAAGATTTTAATTGACTCGTGTTCTATTCTTTCCTCCTTAGATCAACCTCAAACGATATCCTAAAACATTTACTTTTCCTAGCTTGATATACCGTTCCAGATTCCTTGAAGTAAGCCTTCTCCTCCCTCAAGCAAGATTAAAAGAAATCTTATAGTTCTTGTTTCCCCTTTCTCTTCTCCTTTCCACTTGATCTCAACTGTCATAAAAAAAATCAATTATAATAATTAAACATTTATAAAAATCAAAACAATCCCATAAAATTTAAACTACTGATCGGGTTTGATTTTAATAGGGGGTATCAAATATAACGAAATCCACCACTTTTTAATTGACTGGTTTTGAGAAATCCACACTTACCAAATCCACCTTTGCAGGGACCAAATAACCTACTTCTTTTGTCAGGGCGTATCAAATATAGCATAAATCAACCCATTTTTTTAGCCCAAAATTCCTGAATTTCAAATTTCAATTTCCAACCATCCCCATCCTCCACGATTCCCTCAATCCTCCACAATTCAATCCCCACTCACCCCACGGCTTCTTCAACATCTCCCCCATCCTCCACAATTCAATCCCCACTCACCCCACGGCTTCTTCAACATCTCCTCTTAACTTGCCCCTGCACATCACTCGTCATCAAACCAAGTCTGATCAATTGATTAGTTCAAGGTATTTATCTTCAACTGAACCAAAGTATATTTTAATGGCCTCACAAATTTTTTCTTTTTCCACTACATGCATACAACAGATGCCTCCAAAAAAAGCTTCCAGAATCCCAACCATGCGATCACTTCGAACCCCTCCAAAGAAGAAGAGGGCCACTCCGAAAAATACACAATCAAAGAAGAACAATGATGAACTTGGTTCATCCCAAGGTCATCTAATTAAAATAGAGGACTATGAAATCATCATTGACTGGCTCAGAGACAAGAAAAACTATGTTGCCTGTTTTGGCGATGGGAAGGCTCCTGCGATTGGACGACGACCAAAGGCGATGATAAATGGTTACGAGTTGATGGCAATTCACCTCCGAAATGTTTCTCCAACTAAAATCAATCTTACCCCCCGACAGATGAAAGATCGTTTCAAGTCATACAAGGACAAGTATAAGAAAGCTCATACGAAATCCTTGTCAACTGGCTTTGGTCTGACCCCAGCTGATCGGAAGCTTGGAATAAAAACGATTGAGGATAAACTTGAAAATATGTGTCCACTCTACGCTCAAATGGACAAAATCTTTGATAAACGGCCTGACGTCAATCCGTTGTTTTTGGCCAATGCAGAGGATGAAGACGATTCATCTGAATCATCTTCTGAGGATGACGATTCCAGTTCCTCAAATGAGTCAGACGAGACTGATTCATCTAAAAGTTCCAAGTCCACTGCTATTCATCCTTTGTTGAAGAACGCTACTTCACAAGTCGATATTGTGGCCCCTGGAGCAAGAGAACCCAGAAGATGTAAGTCATTTGGATTCATTTGTTGTCAGCGGTCTTAGCGGTCTTTTCACTGATTTGCCCTGTCACACAGAGAACGGCAGCTGCGACTGGGCAAGTTCCAATGGATGAAGAGGCAGGTGTCCACGCTGGGGCAACAGGTGTAAGTTGCACTGTTGAGTGATGGCACAAAAGACTACAACTATATTGACTTTCTTCATTGTTCTTATCCAGGAACCCACTCCATTGGGTGAGACTGTCCAAGATCGAGCTTCAAAGTCTAAGGCCGTGGGGACCCAGGCGAAATCACCAAAGAAGAAGAAGAACAAAAGCAATCGTGTGCAATCTACAAGCAAGGCAGCTGCTCTGAGCGATTCTGGCAAAGACGATTCTGAGTACATATCGCCAAGGACGAAAACAAGTGCAAAGAAGAAGCGCAAAAGAAGGTCTTCAGGATTGAACGCTGGTTTGACACCCAATGAGCTTGCTTTGGACGATCAAACCGATGAGGACTCCTCTGACACCCCGGCTCCAAGTCCAAAAAAAGGAAAGCGCCGAGCCTCAAACTCCAAGAATATCAATCCCAAAAGCCATGGTCGCCCCTCTTCTGTTCCCAACTCTTTTCTGGCCTATGAAGAGTATGCAATGAAAAGGGATTCTGGTTGGTCATCTTACATTCCACTTTTTAACTACCTGGTACTCTGACACCCCGACTCCAAGTCCAAAAAAAAGAAAAGCGCCAAGCCTCAAACTCCAAGAATCCCAAAACTTTTTTTTGCATCAATGGGCCCCAAAAGGGGTCAAATGAATAACCAACATGTTTAAATATGCAATGAAAAGGGATTCTGGTTGGTCATCTTACATTCCACTTTTTAACTACCTGGTAAATTAACGATTCTTCCTTTGTCCTCAATGTCTAGGAAAATCTGAGGTTGCTCGGGAGAATCTTGGCTTTGAAAAGATGAAGTACGAGAGGATGATTGAAAAGGAAGATAACGGTCTGAAATTGGAAGATAAAAAATTCGAGCATAGTAAAGAAATGGAAGGTAAACGATGGGATCACTCGATGAAGTTGGACGATAAAAAGTTGGAGATGAAGAAGGAGGAGAAGGCAAAAGATCAAGATTTTGAGTTGCAAAAACTGGATCGCCAATCAAATGCCGAGGCTCAAGCAAAGAAGATGGAGGTGTTGGTGAAGTGTTTGGACTCTGGGAAATCAATGGAAGAGATAAGGAGGATTGCAAATCTTTTCAAATAGCCTCCCGTTCTGATTATCTTGTTGTAGTATGACTTAACTCAACGGTTTCTTTGCATATTGGAAATAAAAGTCCCATCAAGACAAAAAAACAGATATGATGAATTACTTTTTTTTGATGACAACCACAAAGAAAATTGATAGAAAGTCAGTTTATGGAGCAAGAAAGGAAAATGAAATGATGAGAAATGAGGTTAGTTAAGAGAAAACAGGGCCTTTTTTGGTGGTTTGAGGAGTTTTGTTGTAAGAAATAAGGAAGTTATGGATATTGGAGGACCACGATGACAACAGATAAAAGGAAAGTGAATCACATAAAAGAGAAATGGTAACAGAGAAGCTAACGTCTTTGACGTTTGTTGGAGGGCTGTCGTCTTTGACATTTTTTGGAGGGTTGTTTCGACAATGGTTTGTTGGGGGGTTGAGAAGGGGGGGGCCAACCCCCC